ACAAAAATAGAACATGTAATTATAAAATTTAGATCACTAATGTCGGCATTAGAAGGGTGATATTTGAATACCAATAGTCGAATGATAATTAATTATAGGGGGCGACAATCGACTAGCAATGCTATTTGGGATAAAACATATTAGAAGATGGTGAACGGTGCAAAAATTAGGTAAATACTCTGTCGGATGACTCGTGCTAACATTTTTTTATTCTAGATTATTTGTTTAATATTGATGCGTCTTAATGACATTTGACTTGATTGATTATATTCTTCTGAGTCTGGATAAGCAGACTGTGTCCGGACTTCTGAGACAATATTTTCTCGTGAATGTAGGGGGTTGAAATATCATAAAGTTTTGCGACAACAACCACTATAATTATTTGGAAACTTTTTATAATTTTACATTAATATTTAAATTTAAATTATAAATGATTTGGGGATTAAGGTATAAATAACAATTTTAAAAAGCCAAGCGATATTTTTTTATTCCAGAATGGGATTCATCTTCCCGCCGTTCCATTCAACGACGACCTCGAATTGGATTCCTGGTCGTCTTGCTCCCTCCTCTCTCTCTCACTCTACCTTTCTGTTCCCATCCATCTCTCTCTTCGCAGGTTAGGTATCTACTCCAATCGAGGAGCTGAATAGTTTACATGAAGAACATCGTTGGATTGAAGCCCTAGGAGCGGGACTTCGAGATATTTCATCGTTTAATGGTTGTTGCTTTTCGGAGGTTTCGTTTGGAGCTCGGAATTCTTCGCTGTTCTGGTAAAAATGTTGATATGTTTTACTCCTATGGAGCATAAGTTATTTCGTTTACCCTTCTTTTTGTAAATCAGCGACCATATGGTTTTGTTGGAGTGATTAGGGTTGAGAAGATTTTTCCTCGATCCAAACATAAGTAGGACAACATTTTTTTGTGGTTGAGCTGTGTATTATTGTGTATTGTTGATGAATTTGGCTATACCTAATTCAAAAACTAGAGAGAAGACAAACTGAATGAAGTTCATCAAACGAGCATGCCCGAAATTTTATGCAACTTTAATCAATATATAGTATGGTCTGTTATTGCAGTTGTAGATTTCATTGTCATTTTGATTTTAGAGTTAAGATATAAGTTAATTGATTGCTACTTCTGCTGCAGATTTTACCATGATTTTGATTTTAACAGACATATAACTTTGTAGAGCAGCTCCATGTAATACTGAATTGCAGTCCATTTGTAATTAGGCTAATTTTGTAATGGCTGCGGACTTACTGATTTTGTGATTGTAACTCTGCATGATTTTTTAAATTGATATTTATAAGTTAGTTTTTGTTGTTTTTTTTTCTGGGAAATTTACATACCTAGCACACAATTCTTATATATTTATATATCTCACACCCAATCTTTAATATTTGCATAAATAGCACTTTGGTGCTTTAAACCTATGCATGAAAAAGTATATGAAAGTTTAGGTGTTAGATATGTAGATACACTAGAATTCTGTGCTATTTATGTAAATGCCCCCTCTTTTTTTTGGGCTAAGGTAGAAATTGCTGATGTTTCGAATAACTGCAGCACCTATTGAATGGATAGTGATGTTACTAAAGTTGATCGGGTGCCGAAGATTCCCTGCGAACCAAAGGTAATGACTGAGAGCTCAATCTTGATGTTTGCTTATATATGGAATTGTTTTAGAGCCTTAAGCGTCTACTTGGGACTTGCATTCTAAGTTACAGTTGCAAGGCTGCACAACCATATTAGGAGCCGCATTTATATCTTAATTATGGCCATGGAACGTTTGCTCTCTTAATGACTAGTGAAGTTGCCAGATTACATAAATACAATAAGTGGCCAAAAACTAATTGAATGTATCTTGCAAAATGAATAACTTTTATTGACATCCAGCTTTAGGGAAAATTGTCCGAATCTGTAAATTTCTTTCTGATCAATTTTCTCATAGTTGAAGTAGTATAAATGCGCTTATTACCGGGCTTTATTATTAAAATGGGCACTTACATACTTACCACCTAATTCCTATGCATTTACATATCTAAAACCTAAATTTTTTACTTTTTACATTTATGCCCCCAAATCTCTTACATGACATAAAAAATACCACTACTTTGACTCTTATATTTTAATGCATAGGTAAGGTGGAATATGTGTAAAAATTGAAGTTTAGGTGTTAGATATGTAATTAGATAGGAATTAAGTGATATTTATGTAAATCTTCCTTATTAAAATTAATAATATATGTTATTTTTTGCTTAGTATTACACTTCAAGCTCTTCCAAACTAATTTATATAACAATTGAAGATGCTGTTGTCTTTATCAGACTTAACTTTAAAGACACAATAGTTGATGATTTCATATGGTAGAAGTTGATCATTGATCAGAGGCCAAATGAATATATATAAAATTCAGTCATTGCCAATTCAGAAAAGAAAGAGAACATATCAATTAGCTTAAGCCAATTGTTATACTTTGAATTGCCACTTGTGGTTGTTTGAAATTTGGAAGATTTTCATGCATATTACTCATTTCCTATGTATTTACATATCTAACAACTAAACTTCTATTTTTACATGCATGTGACCTTACCCACGCATGAAAAACTGTATTTCACTTTTTAAAAGTTAAAATAATGATATTTTTGATATGATATGAAAGATTTGAGTGGTATAAATGATATGAAAGAATATGATATGAAAGATTTGAGTGGTATAAATGTAACAAGCAAAGGTTTGGTGTTAGATTTGTAAATACATAGGATTTCAGTGGTATGTATGCAAATATTCCTCGAGATTTTTTGTGTGAAAATTATATCCTCTAATTAATTATGCATTTCAGGTACATGCTGCAGTCTGCTGTGAACTCGTGAAGGTTTTGGAAAAAATTTGTTGCATTCTTCCTGCTATAGAATCAGCTCGACCAGGAAGCTCATCTGGAATACAAGTGTTATGTACTCTGAACAATACGGTTGAAAAAAGCCAGCTGCTCGTTCGTTACTGTTCAGAGTCCAGTAAACTATATTTGGTATGTTTTATTCTTTGTATAAACATTTTAGTTTTCTACCACTTGTCCAAGCACCTAAATTATTTTTTGACTGTGTTGTTGATCTAAAATGTCAAATGGTGCATGCTTATAATGATGCTGTACCTTTCTGAATATCATAACTAGAGGTGAGCATTCTATCTGTTTTGATGGATTGGTTTTTAAATTAGTCAAACCAATTGCAACAAAAAATCCAAAATCTGAGAAACCGAACAAGCCAAAATTTTGATAAAACCGAACAGACCAAATCAAAATTTAATTCGGTGTAAACGGTTCGGTTATGCACAAGCAATAATGTTTTTTTTTTGTTGGAGTTCGTTTATGAACAAATATCAATAACTTCATATCTTGCATGTATAATATCGATTTAATTTCATAAATCCTTCTTTTAATTTCTAATTTTTGGTTTTTTCGGTTAAATGAACATTAAAATCGAATAAAAACTGAAAATCAAATATTAAAATTATATAAATAAAGAGTAGAAATGCATTTCTAAAATGAACCAAATCAACCAAACTTGTTCGGTTTCTTTCAGTTTTTTCTATTTTGACCAATTCATGCACACCTTTAATCGAAACAAAAAAAAATTGTGCTAAATTTGATATATGTCTGAAAAAAATGGCGAAATCTTTTGCGAGCTCTATTTCATTTTGTTTATTTTTTGTTGTTGCGTTCAAGTTTGATCATGATCATGGGCATAGCTAGTGATGCGTGCTAGAGATTCAATACACACTCAGATAAAAGAAAATAACTAGTAGAGACAACATAATTTTTATTGTGGAAAAACCAGAAGGGAAAAAACCACGAGGTTTGGTCTAGTTTTAAAGATTTACTATAAGTTGTTCATTGCAGAGACCCCTTGTTCCAAGGGAGGGAAAGTGTTACAAAGTTTTCTAAATTACAACATCGACTCACGAACGATTTCGTCACAAAGAAGAGGCGGCGGATGATGATGATCAACGAGGGTTGGTGAGTGGTGGGTAACGGAGGTCAGCGGTGGTCGACGACGACAAACATGGTGCTGAACTTCAACTACTTCTCAAAGCTTCAAGTTCTTTCTTAAGCGTCAAACTCTCCTCCCCTTGATGAGAGAGGTGGGGCTATATTTATAGAGTTTTGAGTGTAATTAATGCAGAAATATGAACCACTTTGATACGGATCAGAGGGCTTCCCTCAATCAGAAGTCATTTGAATGGATCAGAGGGCTTCCCTCAATCAGAAGTCATTTGATGGATGTTTGAGTGTTTTAATGATGTCAAAATTGAGTGATCTTGGGCTCGTTAGATTTCGTTGGATTCGCCGAGACGCTATATTCGATTATGAACTTGTCTGATTCGACATTCATTTGACCTCTCAAATGTGTCTGAAAAACATCCAAATGTGGTTTAATGTTTTGATCGGGGCTTGATTTGACTTGGAATGGACTAATTTGGGTATCCTTGGGTCCGTCTCATTGAGTCGATCAGTTTAAATATAAGTTTGCCGTAATCGGTCATCCGAATGAATTTTTATTAAAGTTTGAATATTTTTTGCTCAAAATGATGCATCAAGTTCCATGCCATGCCTTGAGATTCGTGCCGATTGTTGGAAATTTGTTGATAGCATATCAATTAGGTTAGTAAATTTTAGAGCAAACAAGCTTTTTGAGCATCAAGGTATTTAGTCTGTTACCGAAGTCCTAGTTTTTATACATGTGTATTTTCTTGTCTTATTTTAGTCACGACAATATGAGTTCTTCTTTTGAGAATGATTCAATTTCAAGCCAAACTAGTCTTGACTTGAAATCAGGTTTAACATATATAAGCTGCCTTGAAATCAGCTCATATAGGAAACATATTTGATTTTTAGCCAGCTTTGTTTGAATTAACCTCATTTGAGCTTGTTCAAAATCTATTATTTTTATCATTTTGAATTTTAATATATATGTATGCATGCATATGTATATTTATAATACTTGTATTCGTATGCAGGCCTATTTATATATATATATATA